CCCTACCTCTTTTGCACCTGCACTTACTCTTGTACAAAATAAATGTTTGTATGATTTTAAAGTAAAATAAAGTTTATAACCTTTAAATATCATTTGTTGTCATTTTTTAATGTGCCCCTCTGGTTAAACACTGGTCCCTTCTTGGCCCCCCTAGTAAAATTTGTCTAGAACCGCCACTGCCGCTGGTCCAACTGCATGTCCTGCCACGTGATGGACAGCCACTGGCTGATGTATGAGCAGCCCCACTACAGGGGCAGGATGAGGTACTTCTGGCCTGGGGAGTACAGGAGCTTCAGTGGCATGAGGTTCATATGTCCATGAGGTGAATCATGGACTCCTGGTACTGAAAAACTATTATCCTAAAAGGGTAATTATCAAAATAAATGACAAGTGTATTACCATAATAATAAAGATTGTATCAGACTCCTGCATACTATGCATTTTGTCCTTATTCTTGATGTGACTGGCTCCTTGAGAAGAGCAAATCATAATCAACACGAGGAATACTTGACACTCGTCTATCACAGCCCAGCAATTTATTTATTTTGAGCTTAGCTAGGCTTTGTACCACATCAGCCCCAGTTATACATATATTGGTCACAGACAACGCTGTATTCGTAATAAATGGTGGTAAGTTACTTGTGTTCTCTACTGTGAACACCCGTGTAAAATAATCATTAAACTCATTTACTATATCAATTTCATTTTCAATTATAAGGCCCTTGCTATCCTGCAAATTAGTGATTTCAGCTTTTAGAGCTCTTTTGGAGTTAAAATATTGGAAGAAACTTTTAATGTCATCCTTAGCCTTCAATGCAGTCTTCCTCTCTACATTCCTCTAAGCGAGTCTAATGTGATTTTTTTAACTCAATCTGTAGACTTCGTACTCCTGCTTAATTTTGAAATCATTAGTTATTTTCCATTTGTGGAAGAGAGCCCTTTTCCTCCTGACTTTATTCTTAATTTCTGTAGTAAACCACCTTGGCTGCAGTTTCCTAGATTTAGTTTTGCTGGAAACAGGTATAAAGTCCTCTTGCACTTGCAACAATGTGCTTTTAAAAAATTCCCATGCCTCTCATCTGTTTTGCTATTTAACTCCATCTAGTTTATAGTTTCTAGTTTCAGTCTTATACCATTAAAATTAGCCTTCCTAACATTGTATACTTTTGTTTTGGACTTTGCTCTTTGGATACTAAAATCTACCTCAAATTTAACCATGTTATGATCACTACCATCCAGTGGTTCTAAAACCTCAAATTTTTCAATCCTCTCCTGGTTATTAGAGAAAACAAGATCAAGAAGGGCTTCTCCCCTGGTAGGGGTATGATCCTGTTATCGTCATATAACATTCTGCTTTCCTCTGCAGCTACATTAGATGCTCACTATAACCATATTACAGTTTGTATGGATTGAGTGTTGCAGTTCAGTTAACACATCAAAATCACGAAATATTATTTATGAAATTCTGATGAAATCTCATGTTACAGCTCTAGTTCCTTTGAAAGAAATGCTTGGAACAAAAGAAAAAAAGTTATAATAGGCAGTTTATTGAAAACAAGGATAGAAAAACTATTTTCTAGCTGTACAAACATTTCAGATTACAGCTTTGCGCACATAAAATGGAATATAAACACTGAAAATCGGGGGGGGGGAGAACTGGCTCTTTAGATACAATAAAAATATTACCCATACTATGTTTGTGGAAAATCCCAAATTCACCCATTTCTTACATGTTCATACTGAAGATGTGACCAGCAGAGGAGAGAATCAAGCCAAATATGTTCACGCATCATATAACTTTGCACTTCATTTATTAGTCAAATTTACTTAAACTGATTGTCAATAAGTGTCCCTTTCATTTTTGCCTTCTTTGCCTCCAGCTCAGCCTGTTGATGTAAAAGAAAACAAAAAAAAAAAACAAAGAAAATGAACGTCACCACACACTCAAGCTCGTATATAGCATAAAACAGCTAAACAGCAGATGTGTTAGTCGCAGAAAATACTGACCTTTTTTATATACCGAATACATATCACTAGATAAAAAGTCAGCAGTTTGGACGTTTTTTTACGCTTGAAGTTATTATGCCGACAAGTTCTGTGGCTACGTGCAGTATCTGCAGTGGCAATGTTACAAGGGGTGACGGTAGCACTGCAAATTATTAACAACAAACTTACGGTAGTTTGGGTCGTATGTAACTAAAATATCGAACAGTAGTAGGCTTAGACAATATCTAATTATTCATACCATCTAGACATTACACCACGGCATGCGGTATTTCGACAGCATTTTAAAACACAACACTATTCCACTATTTTGAAATCCATAAAGATACAGTTTCGGTGAAAGGAAATACTGCAGTTTGCCGTGTTACCGTAAAGCTGACCAAGCCTAAATAGCAGTTTTACTAATAAATTCATTTTTGGTTTGTAAATGAGAAAATGATGTTTTCAAGTACAAGCATGTAAGCGAAATATGTATTAACAGTTGTGTAAGCATGTTAATGCACTCCAAGTCCTGCATTACATGCTGCAGGGGTCCTTAGGTAAAAGGGTATATATTGACATTGTTCCGGGATTTATTTGTACCAGACTGAAACACAATGAATGTGCCAAGCATATTAAAATATTTGACAGCAGTCAGATACCTGCATGGATTGCATGTATCCAGTGCGACAGGAACCGGCGATGATTTTTTGGGAGTGACAGAAATTACCCTCACAAAATCGAGAAAATATAAACTTGCCCCCCCCCAACCACCGATCTGTGAAATATACAAAGGGAGACTGACTGACTGACTCTTTGTAAAAGTAGTTTTCACTATAAAAATAGTGAGTGAAGAGTGTGCATATCTGTACAGTGTTTGTGAGCAAGTGTTTATCAGAGCAGGCTCTCTTTGTGTTTATCAGAGCAGGCTCTCTTTGTGTTTATCAGAGCAGGCTCTCTTTGTGTTTATCAGAGCAGGCTCTCTTTGTGCTTATCAGAGCAGGCTCTCTTTGTGTTTGTCTTGAAATTGACTGGCTGTTAGTGCCCTATTTTGAATTTTATAAAACTGAGTTATTGACCGACATATTTAATAAATCTTTGTTAGCGGAGCAAGTGTCAGCACTTTTCTTGGACCTCATGGAATAGTGCTTTGGAGAAAGAGCTAGAAAGAGCTAGCGTAGAGCCCTGGAGGTCCTGGAATCCTGGAAATCCAGGTGAAACCTTACCAGCTCTTGCAGTCTTTTCTTGCTCATCCCTTTTCTTTCTAGCTGCTTCTCAATCACTTTGGCATTCTGGGCATATGAATCAGCAACTTCTCTCTGTTGACAGACAATTTGAACACTTAAATCACTGGAGTTAAATTTATTATAATATATTTAGAATATATATTTTGTATTTCACAAACAATATATTGATTTTTTTCTGTGTGTGTGTATTTATATTACACACACACACACACACACACACACACACACACACGACTACAAAAGATACGCAAAAAGATGAGTATTTAAAAATGGAAAACACTAATTAAATGGTCAAGTATCTTTCAACGTACCGCTTCAATCTCCTCTTCCTCTTCATCAATTGTAGAGACAGTAACAGAGCTAAACTTCCCCATATCTTTTGTTCGCTTTGTCATCATTACCTGGCAGAAGTAAAACAGTACACAATTAGAGCAAGCAAAACGCTTCAGAAAAATGCATTACCTTTCAGCCGTGATGGAAATGCTAAACAGTACAGAACACAAACAAGTTTAAATGTGGCTGCTTGTGTACAGACAATTCATCTTCAGCTGTGTTTATATCCCATTTAAATGCCCTTTAAAGTCAGGAGGAAAACAGAGAAAAGGGCCAATGACCATTGAAAACATACCCTGACTTTTTTCGGAGCCTCCTGCTTCTGGCTGTACACACTGGTGTTCCCAAATCCCTGGCCAAACTTCACCACTGCACCATCAACAATGAATGTAACTGGCGTATTCTTCATTTGGTGTTGATAAAAGAGGAGGAGGCCACACCTGCAAAGAACAGCAAATACCTGTTAAGCTATGAAAAACCATGATTATAGACAACTACACAAAGTCTTCATAAAGATTTCACTATATAGAAACTAGCCAGCAAAATGTACACTGCATTCCAGAATTAATACTCCATATTTTCCTGTCATAAATGCTTTGATTGTCAAGGACAAAGTTTTTTATTTTTCATTTACCACCACTTTAACAGGCACGAACAAGCGCCACACTTAAAACTTAATTTTAAAAGTCACACATTGTGGAAGTGCTGTCTGTTTTCATTACATACGGAGGGGTGTAACAAAAGACAAAAGTTAGAACTGGAAACAGCTGCATCAACTCAAAATCCCCTTAGAAGGAAATTGGCCAAAAACCAATAAAGCAACCACAAATCGAAGCACCAGTCACATCACCATTACAGACTGGCATCAAAGGTATTACTGCAGAATTTTGTTTTCCTTTTCCAGGTAAAATCTTACAATATAATCCTAGTAGTACATTTTTTTTCTCCCTTATCCTGAATCTTGCATCTTTATACCACTCTTTGCTGAAGAAGCAGTCTTTAGATCATTCCATAGATGTTCTATAGCAGGCGTACTAAACCCCCCATGCAATTTACAGAGGGGATGCCCCAGGACCTCCAAGAAAAAATAACCGAGTACCCCTGTTCTACAGGACTGAGGTCCAGGTTCGTACAGAGCCATTCATGGACATCAATTTTTGTAAAAAAAAAAAAAATTAAGTCGACTTATAGGTTGGAGCTGGGATACAGGTTCTGGTCATGTTAAGAAGTGAAATTCCAAAATTTCCGCCTGCTGCTGCACCCAGGTTTGACAGTTAGTGTGCCCTTCTTTAGGGGCTGAGCCGTCTTGGATTTCACCAAATATATCTTTTCAAATTAAGCTGAAGTGCTACCTTGGTCTCAAGCCTAATAACATTTTTCCTACACAAGGTTTAATTTCAATTACTTAAGTAATATAGCAGTACTTACTTTCCACATTTTTTTCGATACTGCCGTTCAATTCCCTCTGGTCTATACAAAAAAAGAACAAGATGGTACATTATACAGACACCCACCAATCATAGGATACAGCACATAATGAAGTCCAGGGTAACTATTTCTCATGGAGGGCCAAATCTGACCTTCACCATGTCAACATTATTTTTTAGCTTTCAGTATGTTTTATTAGTGTATTTTTTAAAAATGTATTTCTATTTAGTTTTTATAGGTGATAATAAAGGAATTGTTCTTATTTTTTGATATCCATTATTACATTATTAGCCAGGTCACATGGCTACTGTTCATTTTACCTTTTCAGATACACATTTTCATCATCTTCGACGTTGCAGAATTTGTGAGCATGTTTAGCAGCATCGATCACTCTTGCTTTGTCCCTTGGCCTCATTGGAAGTTTTTCCATCTGGCAGTCTGCAAAGTAAAATATTGTCAGAATGTCTGTTACACAGCACAGAAAATATATACATCTCAGAGATAGAGGGCAAAAACAAAAACAAAAAAAACCAAACAAGTCATTTTACATAGAAAAACATCAGAATAGGTTTCAACAGATTTAATAAGAATATCTGCATACCACCCAACATCAACTCAGTTTCAAACTAAACTAAGGTGATTTCTTGCCATGTAAAATTAACATTAATCCTACTAACATGCCTCACTTTCAACACAGAAATTTCACACACTGATGTAGAGCACATATAATTCTTGCTGCAGCAATTTGTATTTAATAAATTTGTGATCGAAATATAGTGAAATAAAGTTATAATCAAAGCAAGATAATCATATGAATTAGTTCACATATGGAAAGAATAGTAATGCTTTCACCATAATTTAAACACAACATTATGAAGTCTCACCTAAAACCAGCACCATCTGACCACAAAGACAGTAGTAAACATGAAGTGGTTTTTCTCCATCGTCGTATTCTTCACGATCTCGAGTATCTGAACAAACAACACTCCGAGACACTACTTTCGGCATTGTGTAAATAAAATGTAAATAATTTGAAACAACTAGAAACAACTCATCTCCCCTTTGTAGAAAACGAAACCTGTCCACTGAAATATACGTCATCAGTCCATTGATGTAAACGTCACAAACATAGTCCGTCCTGATTCGCTAGTCGGCCATTTCCCATCTCACGTCTTCATGTGATTGTTTGTGGAAAAATATTTTAGAATTTAGAATTTTTAGAATTTGGTGGTCAGTGGTCATTGTCAACACACCACAGCACACAGTGCGCAACAACGAAATGTGTCCTCTGCATTTAACCCATATGTGACTTTCGTGACATAGCAAGGGGTGGATAATTCAGCGCCCGGGGAATTTTTCTGAAAGGAGAATAGAAAATTTTGCTCCACCCAACTGACCGAAGTTGGCATCCCCGATAATTCATATTTATGTAGAATTCTCTAAAGGTCAGACAGAGAAAATAGCTGTACAACTTTCAGTCTATCCCTCGAAAATAAAAAAACTAAATAAAAAACTGCACAAATATTAAAAATAATTTATATATATTTGTGTGAGAAAATTAGGCTTAAATGATCTTCATATTGTTGTAAAACTGATATTGTGTATGTAATTATATATTATATTTGTGTGTTAGCTTAGTCGATTTCAAAACATTCCCTAAAAGTTACTCTGTATTTGCAGTGACCGTCGAATATATCCCTGTATTAATTGCCTTGACCACTAGTATACCATATTGGGTTAAGTAATGCCTCATCCAGTTATTTAGCTAATAAAGTTAACTAATAAAGTGAGCTGGTGGTGAAATTTAAGAAATACATGGCTGGGGTACCACATCAAAGGCAGCCAACATTTAATACCAGTGTGTCAGATGTTTCCCCATTTGGCCAGCAGATGTCGCTGGCCATCCCATCCGTTTGTCTTCCTAATTTCCCCTCTTGATTGAGTGATTGGCATGACAATGATTGTTAATTCCCCTCACTGTTACTGTATAACTCCCAGTTTCTAGTGTTATTGATTCACACGTGTCCCTTTTTGATGATCTCATATGTGTTTTGTGTATACAAGTGTCTGCCCTTGGCCTGTTCCTTTGTAGGTTGTGAGTGTTGTCAGTGCTATGCTTTTGTGCCTGTTTCCCATGAATTTTAATTCCAGCCTTTGTGTATTATGAACATCCTACCTATCTCAGTTTTGACCCCTTGTGGTTCTTTTGTTTCTAGTACTTCTTGTGTTCAGTTGAAATAAAGTCCCCCTCAGTTTCTAAAGGCTACTTATCGACCCTAACTCTACCTTGTGTCCCGCCATAAAACCCTAAATCATCATATACAACTACAGCATAGTATAGTCTAATATAGGTATAAGGAAACTTTTCAAAGGGCAAGTGAAATCATAATTTCTATTTTTGAAACTGATTTACACCGGGTAATGACAATTGTATAGTCACATTTCAGTAGAAAGAGGTGGCGTCCAGTCAGGGCACCTGCCAAGGCAGAGGATGCCCACAGGGCAGGCAGAAGGGCCACCAGTCTTACAACATATTTTCATTTTTACCGCATTCCATAGCCCTGTTCAAAAATCATTAGGTGCATTTTATTTATTTAATAAATGAATGAAAAAGTTCTACCAGAAAATCACATATAGCCACTGCATCAGGTCAGCCTCTGGAATGGCATACAAATGCTGCATAACGTAAAACTTACATTTTCATTTTCAATAAAGTCTTTATTAAATTTCATAAAGATTAAGCAATGCAATTAGGAAGTAATTAAATGAAAAATGACAAAATGTAAATTACATACATAAATACAATAAACATGAATCTCGGAAAATTCATTGTGTTTCATAATTACAATAATATTTAAAATAGTTTATACATAAAGTGTTCAGTATGAAAATAAAATATATAAGGTTTAATCATGGACCCTAATTTATTAGGTGTATACATAGAAATAATACTGCCATTTTTAGACTTTAATTAAAACATTTCAGAAACAATTGTCTGATTAATACAGTTGTATCAAAAATTCAGATTATAGTTCCAAAAACATGGGTGGCATATATAACGCAATACCTGATGAGGAAACAAACATTCTTTAAAAGAAGAAATAAGCAAAACAAAGAATGAAAATGTGGTACTCATTTTTTTTCAAACAAAATCTTTGGCATACATAAAGAACACATTGCACAATTTCACATTATATGGACGAGGACAACTTTAAAAGTATTTATCATGTTTAATGCCCCAGAATTTGAAATATAAATCTTTACTGAAAAAAGCCTAACTGTCACACATTTGTGTGGTACGAACTGTTTGGACTAAAAGCATAAATAACACTAATCAGTGAAATGCAATAGAACTTGCAGACACTTGGCAGAAAAATAAATATATACATATCCAGAATTACATGTGTGCTGCTGTCAAGGTTGCATAAAAGCTTTGCTTTTTTCAAAGAAATCATTTACTCTGCTGAGATGAGATTCCCCACAAAACTGCGGTAAGATGAGCTTCGAATTTCTACCATCACTTTAAAAATATTCTCAGCAGCCCCATAGAAAAGGAAGTTACAAAAAATGAGGCGTCCAAAACTCAGCACAAATCTCTATATAATGTATAGCTGTCAGGGGTACTTCTACCCAACTGACATAAAGCATAGTATAAATTGTACAACTCAAGTTACAATTTCTTGAATTATTCTACTGACTGTATATATGCAAGCATGGATTGCTCACATATATATTTGAAAACGCCAATATATGAAAATGCTGGTGGCATATTCTCAAATTAAAGGAGAGCTATGGCCTTACACATCTGTTTAGCTGTCATACTCATAAAGACAGCTTTTCAGGCAGCAGATAAAAATGTTACTAAAGCAATATTTCTCTGCAGTGTACCTTGCTGTCTGTAAACGCACTTTTCAAACAGACAGTGTCTCAGAAATCATCCAGAAGCTTCAGAAAATCACAGTGGACTATGTAATGAATAAAGACCGTCCTTCTACTTTCCTCTTTCTGTTAAAATAATAACACAATTTTAGTATTTTCTTGCTGTTTCACTTCTGTTAACAGGCAGATATTATATGTAGCTTCAGTATTATTAGGGACAGTGCAAGCTGCTTTGGACTAAAGTATCTGCTAAATAAATGAGATGTATTATTCAAACTATTCAGTGCATGTGTGAGTGAATAGTGTGTGAGTATAGGGTGTGTGAGTTTAGGGTGTGTGAGTATAGGGTGTGTGAGTGAATAGTGTGTGAGTATAGGGTGTGTGAGTTTAGGGTGTGTGAGTATAGGGTGTGTGAGTGAATAGTGTGTGAGTATAGGGTGTGTGAGTTTAGGGTGTGTGAGTATAGGGTGTGTGA